CCGCACGTGCTACGTGCGCCATTAATGCTTTAAAAAAGGGCCATTCGTGCTTTGTGCTAACCACGTTGTCACTTAACTCCGCTGTACTGTGTTGGACTTCGAATGTTATTCTTGTATTTATGATTAACGTTATAACTTAGTATAAATATGTGTTGTTTTTTATTGAAGGCTACCTTTTATTCTAGGCATTGTTATACTTTGATAAATAAAAAAGGTTGAAACCTTACCTTAACTGGTCGACTTTAGAATTGACGAAAGAACTCCTTAACACGAGCACTAATTTTTATGTTAAAAGTATGCTCCAAGCACTTACTTATCTTATAGCCTTAATTTTAGAAAACTAAACCGTTTTATTTATTATTAACATAATAGGAAATATGTTTAGATATATCCGCTCTATAAGTTATTTAGTTTTGATGTTACTTTTTCGAATTATTAAAACGAAATACCTGCAAACATTGATATTATAAAAAATAAAACAATATATATTTGTATCTATTGCTCGATTTTTAAAAATACAAAAACTTGTCGCAACTCTGAATTTGTCTAATATTTGTGCCTATGGTTGGTTTTCAATATGAATAAATACCATTTTTGTTTTACAAAAAGAGCTTTGGTAAGTTTCTCTGATTCTATGAAGTAATTCCCATTTAGTATGCACTAAAACGGCTTCCAATATGTCTTCAGTACAGAGCAGTCCATTAAAGTTTTATTGCTGATCTTTGCAACCACTCCTTATTTGAAATCACCAGTATTATAGTACCTTTGTCTAATTTAATTCTGCTTATACATGCCTCAAACAATCGTTAGTCCTTGTGACAAAAGTTATAAATATATATAATATATATTGCAACCAACTAGTAACTAGATAGTCATACAGGATCCATTGGCAGGAGTACTTTTAAAGAGATTTTTGTTGTTACTGCTTAACGAAGGTCCATTTTTCTTAATTTAACTATATTCAAAAAGATATACATTATAAAAGTCTATCATAGTCTATTCTTATTGGCTCACACCTGCAATTTTATTAAATACTGTATTTAACTATATATTATGTACTACTATAAATAAGCGTAGGCAAATCGATAAATAAATATTAATGTTATAAAAAAATACTCACAGCTTAATCAGCTTTTTTGATACTCATAAGGAGCATAACAGGAATTTTACCTGTTCCAGTTTTCCACACGACTTGATATCTGTTATGCTTGTGCGTTATCTTTCTCCTGCGCCCTCCGTTATAAATCCTTCAAAAAGGTAGCGAAAATAAGCTTCGTTTTAAGTATACGTCATCATTGTTTTGAATAAACGCATTCTAGTTATTATGCACGATGAGGTAGATAAGCCAGCACGGTCCGTTGCGGTCTGGCAGGAAAATATGACCGATTTCATTGTTCCCTCCGCTATTCGAGCCTGAGAATCACTTGCAGCCATCAACAACGCGGATGCCACATTTAACGAGCCTTGTCGAAGTGAAGGAAAATAGGAACAGATGAATTAGCTGTCAGCCATTCAGAGATAAAAGTGAGGCATGTCATAATGAGCTCAAGGAAAACAATCGACTGTCTATGTCGGTCATATTGCAAAATTCTAAAGTTCTGTTTTTTGTTTGAAAAATTTCAATGACTATTTTGATGCTCAAAGTACTATGGGAGATTTCCAAAACTACGGATGCCAACGAAGGCTAAGATTTTGCTATCTTACAAAACTTTAAGAGAATTCTAAACGCCTTTTGAAATTACAGAACATTTATGCTAAAGCATAAAGTTAACAGAATTGCGAATTTAAATTTCAGAGTATTAGCTTTAATGCTATCGACGTTGCTGTTTAAAGTTGATGAAGCCAATAAATTTGTCGATGGCCGTCGTTTAGTCAATGGTTCGCGGCATAGAACGTCGGCTAGTGATGTGTATCGATCGTTGTTCCCGCCGCCACCATAATGTGCCCAGCGCGGACACCCGAAGAGTGGCGTCATGGAGCGAGGCACCAACCAGGCGACGCACCGCCGAGCGTCGCATGCGTTCTTGCAACGTGGGGTTCCGATCTTTATGTCCTCGGGAAATTAAAAAAGAATATTTCTTTCTGTTAAATATATATAAATATAATTTTGTAACAAGAAATAATGTTTAATCAGAGAATTACAGAATTAAGTTTCTCAATATTGTAAATGCCGAAATATTAATATTTGATATAAGTGAAACTATTTGAATTTTACATGATACTTGTTCCCTACAAATTTTATCGGATAGAAAAGCAGAGGTAAAAGCAGTTTTATCGACACATTTATGAAATATTTATAAAAGTTGGTTATTAAAAATAACATCTCTCATGTGACATTTTTGCACAGAAGCACATAACATGCTAATCGTGAAATTGTTGCGCGATTTCTTTGTGGATTGGGTGTTCTAAAGTCCCGTTGAAATCCCGTGTTCCAAACATCCCTAGTAGATGAAAATAAAAAGCTAACCCTTATAAAACAAAACATACTTCTTAGTGCGCAGAGATATTAACATTGTTAACTATACGTATGAAGTTGAAATGATGTATCTAGCAAATACTGTAATATAAAATTCTAGAGATTTCAATTATAACTTATTACAAGTACAAGAAACATATATGACAGATCGTTAATTCTAATAATAATCTACTTAAATTCTTATGGCGCAATTTTTAACTACTTACGATCAAAACCTAATCGCTCTGTTTATGTAGCATTTATCAGGACTGGAACCTTTGTTTTGATTAAGTCATAAGTAAAAACAATATATGCATATAACTATGTATACATATAAAGTTTTCACTTATCCGGGTATTAATTTTTTGTTAAATTGGGAGGTAAATATGGCTAATAAAAAAAAATCAATATGAAAATATTCAGTATAACGATATAAAAAATATTTGTTTAAATAATTAACAGAGTTCAGAAGTATATACCTTATAATAAAGTCAGTAGAAAATTTGATTAAATGTTTTGCTCTTAAAAATACACATGTGTTCATATTTTACCTACCTAAAAGATCACTAGGAATATCGTTATCACTTTTGAATTTTCGTGCAGCTTTAACTCGCATTTAAGCTATTTTTCCTGATGATACAGTTTATAGTGGCTCAAGTGTTTTATCGTAAACTTAATAGTTTTGTTTGTCACCGCCAACAAAAGATACAAAATTGAACTTTCTAGTTTTGGTATGTTATTATATTTGATAGATTTTATATTTACAATGCTATCTCGGGCATTTGAATGCTTACGTATTTTACCTTAACATAAATGTTACTTATTGTCTATTCAAATCGATTACAAATCTATATTAAATAGGCTCCCAGTCGGTATATACTCGACATCGTCAACAATAACAGTGTTATTACAAAAAAGATAAACGCGCGTTGAACAAGTGTTTAAAAAATTTTCTATTACAAAATCGTATTTATGCATTGGTTATGGCAAAACAATCCTTAAACATTGTTTACAATTTAAACACTAAATGTTTTATATAAGCCAATTTACACAAAACCACAACGGACTATACCTACAAAATACGTATACCTATAAAATACGATCCTTTATTTTTGGTTTATTCCATTTATACCAAGACTGAATTGTAGAAATCCAAAACCATATTGAAGCAACTAATTAACTCCGATAATTATAAGTTTCAATGATTTTTACGTATTTTGTAAGTTTAAATGTAGTAATCATGCAAAACTTTGATATGCTTGTTATTGTTCTAATATCTAAATATATTTGGGGTCGCGCAATAAGCCTATATATTCTTCTTTTGTACTCAGTAATAAGGTGCGAATAAAACTCTTATCTTTCTATTGTTATATATATCTGTCGATATTATTTCCCATTATGTATATTTTCTAGCACTCTGTGCTTATTTTATTCGTGCTTATTAAATTCATATTTGTTATCGGAAACCGATAAATAAATAAGCAACATCACTTCGTCATCGAGATTTGAATCGCCAAAATAGACAAAGTCGTTTCAATTGTCTTAAGGCGAAATTTAAAAATGAAAGAGGCACAAACTTAATCTTATTATTAAATCAAACACATCACATTAAGGATGTTATCTTGTCAATATCGAAGTCCCTAACAGTGAAGTCAATAGTGTAGACATAAATATGTAACGACAGGTGGTAAAGTGGTCATGCTGAGCAGCGCACGCCTGACGTACCGCGCTAAAACATTGTAACTCCATAACAGTACAGTTCAAAAATGAACTGTATACGTATGTTACCTACAGATGTTAATGAAACACAACAATTGACGTCACATAATATCGTCAACATGAAACATCAATCGCAGCGCAAGCCTGAAGACGGGAGAATTCGAATTTATTGACCATTAATTCAAAATATTATTTTCACAATATAAGTACTCATTTATTAATTTTGAAATATTAGGTTCCGATTAATTTATATGTGTCGTTAAGATATTTATTATGTATGTAAATATCGTCTTTATTTATAATACTAATGTTTTGTTTTCGGTCGCTGAGCGCATTTGTGAAGGCACTCATTTAATTAACTGTTCGTTATGAATGAACACGTCAGATTTTATTAGAAGTGTAATTTATGTAAATATTTAATATATTTGATGACATAAGTTACGAGGTGCCGGCTAACATTGATACTTTTCTACTTTTAAACCGACAATATTACTTTTAGTGGCGATCGTTTCTTGACGACAATAGTTTTTAGCGAACAAACAAATTGGATAAATTATAAATGACTTCTGTTTTTCGCCATCTTTACAGGGATAAAAGCATCTGCCAATGAGTGTCCTTTGCATTCACTGCTAATGACTACAGATACAGTTAAGATCAATTATGTCATATAAATGTTTATATGTAAAACGGTCGCCCATTTCATTACTGGCCACTCTGAAATTTCCTCAGCCTTCAATCCCAGAATACGCTAACCACTGTGTTATCGAGTTTCTCGAATTTTACTGCACACATAACTATATAATTAAATACTAATATTTATTTACAGGGAGTGGACGAAGAAGATCGAGTATCGGTGAGTACAAGTTTTTTTTGTCAAGATTTAACAATGCTGGTTTTGATTTAGAGAAAACTTGCTTTCCATCTGTTTTCTTTTTGATATTGATTCATATCATGACACCTATATGCAACGGATATAACGACAAATTGGTTACTATGGTAACGTTTTAATTCCATATATAAATTTTCACTCTTTCTTTCATCCATTTATTTGCTGTTTTTCGCCTATATTCACCGTATATGATGATTTTTAATATCGGTCTATTAGTTTCGGAGGCTATTCGTTACAAACAAACTATCAAATTTTTCCTCTATAATATTAGTAGGGTATTTACATTTTTTTACGTCAGATCAGATATAATTACCATGTTATTCTCTGCTTACAACAACAATATAAATCTACAAACCACGATGATTTTCATATCTATTCCAATTCTCCATCTCAAAATAGGGCTAAAATTACAGATTGTATTTAATATATTTAATGAAAAATTAGCACAAATTTTAAATAAAAGTTTTAAAATTGATAATATAAAATATTTGCAAAAAAATATAGCAAGTGCTTGAAAAGTTCATCAGTCCTGTTGGGTGACGGGTAGCTCAATGGTTAAGGCTGTCGTCCGATTGCAAAAGGTTTTGGGATCTCAAATTTGTTTTAAGCATTTTAAATTAGATGTATTTATCAGTATAGCATTGTGAATGCAAATTTTATCATCATCATCAGCCTAACCAGAATTTGTGACATCTATTTTATTTTATTTATATCTTTAAGTTGAATATCTTGAATCATGTTAGTTCTTGAATTTAGCTGGACCACAAAAGCGAGACGGACCCTCTTGATTCAAAACAGAAGCAGTGGATACTGTGCGCTGCTAGAGGTGAATATCATGCGCTCGCGAAAATGTGCAAAGAAACCCCAAAACTAGTCAAAACAAAGGTAAGCCATTTTTAACATTAATATTTTGTTTGAAATATAAACAAATATTAGACAACATCACATACATTGGTCAGAAAATGAGAACCACAAAGGTACATAACCAGACCTTAGACAATATAGAAAAGTCAATTTCCTACATTAACCCGAACGGGAATCGAACCCGGGACCTCTGAAGTGGCGATACCTTGAAACCGGCGTGTTAACCACGAAGATCTTCAATGGGTTCGTCGAAGAAAATAAAAAAATTAAATGCGTTAAATATTAAAATAATTGTATTTCAAAAATAACTGCAAACCGAATAACCTCTATGGTCTATCTATCTTATTTATAGAAACTATACACAACACTTTAATTCATAGTAAAGCGTTTTTAATCTAAACAACATCTTTTAGTGAAAATGTTAACGCCAATAGTGATTAACGTTCAGCATTGATAGTGAAGTGTGAATAAATTCGATTCAACATAAGCATTGTAATTGTTTGGTCAATATCAAATTCCTATAGATTTTAACTTTTAGTCTGTTGCTGGTAGAATTCATAATCGCTTGTGGAAAGAATCATGTCCCATTTTTACCTAAAAAATTATTAACGCGTTCTAGTGCTAAAATGTAGCTTACTTTTTACTTATTTCATATCAGGAAATTAAATCTGAAATAAATTTAGGATAAAAATTTCAAAGTTTATAATAATTTTTATATAATGCTATGATAACTACTCGAATGCGATTCGAACCCAATGACAGTTTTCTACGATTCGTTTCATCTAATTTGGCCTTCAGTTGAAAGATGCTAAGATATTCTATTTTAAACAAAAACTAATAAAAATTATCACTAATGGTGGATAGACACGACCCTTAAAAAATATGTGACAGGTCAATCGATGTATGGAAAGTGGACATGATTCTTTCTACTTCTTCTTTTTAATTAATGGCGTTGTCCTTGTGGATTTCGCCAGAATCCAGTGTTTCGCTCAGTTTAATTTTCATTTTCATATAATCTGACGTACTATAGACAACTTTATCCTACTCAAAACATTCTATAAAAATAGCTAAGAAGGAGCTGCTCATTTATCTCTAAAAAGTAATGAAATCTCGAGACAAAGTGAAACCAAGTCTAAGGCTCCTTATTGAAATAAATGCCTTTATTATTATATTTAATGTTATATGACTGGCCGTTGAACATTTTAAGAGGTTAGTAGGTACAGGTAAACGCCGTTTACCTGTCACATATTTTTTAGAGAATGTTTTTGGTGAGATTTCACAATTTTTTGGAGAAAGCTGACAAGATGTGATCTGATTGACTTATTAGAATTTCTTATTAGACAATATTACTTATAATAGTTAGTTTATGGCATTTATATAGGAAATTATTTTATAATTTTACTTTTAATTTCATTTTATATTAATATTAAAAGCAGAGTCCTACTACGCAGAATTAATTTTGCAAAAACAGTCGGTCGATAATTTGGGTGCGCTCTTACGGTTTCTCGGTAGGGTGATAGTTATTAGTTATTACTTTATGTGGGCTTTAAGCTACCACTGCACCAAATTTCAGCGCTCTAGGTTGATGAGTCAGTGTCGAAAATGCAAAACTTTGCTTTCGCTTAACTTCGGAACTAAATGATTTACCGACTTGAAATTTTGGATTTATTGTGTGTGATTATAGCTTACTAGATGAAGAAAATTTCAGCGTTGTAGTCCCATCCAGATATTCTCAAATATGGACCTGAAAATGCGGCGAAAAGGTTCCAGAAATCGATGGTACGGCAATGTTGCTTCCCGCTCGACTTGGCTGGGGCACTTCCATTAGTAGAATTGATTTAACACACAGGCTATTTTTTATACAAATAAACGATTATCTGAGGATAAATGTCATGGCATCGTCTAATTGGAATTTGAAATGCTCATATTATGTTGAGTGTGGTACAAATATAAATATATAAAAGTAAGTTTTATATTTTTAACTTGCACTGAAATGTAGTAGACGCTTGGCAATCCAATACGCACACTCCGGTGCTCGTTTACATTATTCCAGTAGATGTCCAGCTGGACTGGAATGATGTCTAAACTGGCATTAGAGTGCCACGTTTACCAACGTACTTCGAAATTAGTAAATTAATGTAATAAGCGTCGTGAAATTATATCGTGGGATATAAGGTACAAAATAGTACCTTATATCCCAATGAAAGGAGATTAATTAATTATTATAAAGAGCACATCAAAATAAATCTTAGTCTAAAATCTTTTTCATATAGATGTTTGTAAAAAAGTGACGAACGGATGTAGTGGTCTCATATTCTTGATTTTGAGGCGTTACTGTTAAGCGTCCGCACATGCACAAAAGGTGTGCTTCTAATTGGGTCTTGGGGAGTTCGGTCGGCGCCGAGCCTTCGCCCCCCCGCCGCATGCTATCTTGACATATCTCCGGACGTAGTCCCTTGTTTCATTTTACGAGCCATCTCAGGCCCTAATTTTTTTCTGTAGTAATTTTCCGTTTATGCCGCTTCAAGTTGCACACTTGATATAGAGACATCATATAAACTTAAGAGTCGCCAATTTCGAAGAATGTTTCGATGGGGACTAATAATAAATTACACCGGGCTATGTCTGTTACTGTAATGCCATTCGGCCATTCTGCAGTTCCAAGATACGTAAACTTTCAATTATCTCTGAACACAGGATGTAGAATTATAATATACCTAAATCAACCCAGTACAAAATCCAGATTAAATGTTTTTACTGTCTGTGATTAAATTATTTTTACTGTGTTTGATTTAAGTATTTTTTTTAATTTATATTGAAATTGTTCATTTAGTAACGGTAAAATAAGTACTGATAAAATCAAATAAAACAATATTGCTATGCTTTATTGTCTCATACTAATTGCAACCTTAGCAATTTAAAATATATTAAAAGTGTTGTAATAAAGTGAATAAATTCATGTATTTAATATTGGAAAATAAATTATTAACTGAAATTAACTAAAACTAGTAAAATTTCATTTAAATTTGTTTAGCTTTAGGCATTTATTTTAAACATGTTGTCTAGCCGTCGCGTTGGTTATACAGAGTACATTACTTTTATTGAATACGCAATAAAAAAGGTAATGATAGCCTTCTCTTTTATTGATTCCTTATAAATCAAGGGTCGACGCAATTCGATTTGAATTTTATTGGCATACTCACGTAGTCTTGTGAATAGTTGTTAACTAAACTTAATGAGAATTACTTAAGATTTATAGTGAAAGGCATGTTTGCCGTTTCCATTTTGGTTGGCTTACAAGCTGTTTTCTTTCTTTGGTCATCGATATCTATCGATATATAGATAAACTGGCTTCTATAAAATGTTATGTCTCGCTAAGGAGCTACGCTCATATAAAAAAATGTCTTTATAGTGGTTACAAATTAATTTGTAATTTCCAAGCATTGTATTGAATTTTATGTTTCTTGAAGGCCTTTTGAATAGACTGTAACATTGTGTTGATCAGTAACACGTGCTTTTAAATGTAGAGCGTCGGTTATTTTCATTTCCTCCTAACCGCCACTAGAGCTAATAAAGCAACAGTAAATATTGTCAGACAATATGTAACACGTGTTAGCTACTGAGCCTTGCCGGTTGACATTTGTCGCCATTCCTATAAAAAAACACTTTGAAGCTTATTTTCGTATTTGCCTCACTTGCTGAAAGAATTATAGATTTGTGGAAATACCTCTTGTGTGTGGGTTCTTATAATATATTTTTTTTATTACACGCCTTTCTTGTATCGCTTTGAAGCATGATATTTAAATGTGTCATCGTTGTTTCCTATCCAAAGAAACTCAACTTAAATATTCCTTCATTAATAACGTCCCGATGATGAGTCTGTAATAAATTAGACGATCTTATAAAAGGTTGTGACACTTCATGACATTGCCGTTTTCACGTTATTAATTTACTTTGATTAGTTTGTATATGAATTAATCGCGTTCTAAATTAGAATTATTAAAATGAAAAGTAGCGTAAAACACATTTTATCTTTCCACAGTATCGATAGAATTCATGGATACTTTGGTAAACTGTTTGTTCCGTGTTGAAATGTAAATTTGAACATCTCAAATTACAAAGATAGATAGATATACTTTTTGCATAAACTTGTATGTTTTGGACTTAGCTTTACTAAATAATAAGTTAATACAGTTAATTTTGAATTAAAAAAAAGAAACTACTTTAAATATTCAAATACTTTTAACGATCTTGTAATTGCGCTGATAAAGATTTGTTTAGGCAATAAAAATACCAAAGCTTAGCATTATTATTGTTGATTTACGGCTCTCCGTTTTCGAATGGGGCGGAGTCGTTGATGGAGATAATTAAATCCAAATCATTCGATGTTAGTTTTGGACATTTATATTGATACGATTCAATAATTGCATTGTTAATTGCGTATTCGCTATGTTCGAAAGTTTAATTGTTTCGTTTAACTTTGAGATATTTAAACTTCAATTAAATTTTAGAATGCTATTATGTGTTTCATTGTTTTTGGTTTTCTTGAATTATAATTTGAATATACCAATATGAAAAGTAAGTTTTTGTTATTACTGATGCAATAATTTAAATTCATTTTTGTGTTAAATATTATACTTGTTAAGTATTAAACGTTCAATTTCATCGAATTTATCAAATACTCCAAATTCTTTTCTCGTTTTTACAATCGCCACTGTCGCATTAGAGTGTAACTGCAATTAGTCATATTTTTTATATGAGTGGCGCCTTCTCGGATCGGGATTCGGTTTCAATGTAAAAAATCTTTCCAAACAGCCGTCTAATATTTCGACTGCACGCGCTATTAACGCCGAGTTGAATGAGTGTTCGTTGTGGAAAGCAATCTGGGTCCTGATTTATACATGCGCGGGCGCGCACACTACGCTGACATCTCTCGGTCTAATTAGGATACTGATTTTGTCAATGATTTATCTTCGTTTAGATTTACAGTTCTTATTACATGGTAGTGGTTCCAAATCGAC